CAAACGCGTGCGTACGTACTTCCTTTGTGCTTCCGCCTTCCTTAGCTATTTTTGTACTATTTTCCCACAATATTTTCCTTACTATTTGTCCCTCTATTTCTTGCTGAAGTTGGCTGAACTTTGTGCGTGAAAAGTGCATGAACTCAACGTCCATACACGGTAATTTAAAGGAGTAAAAAGACGAGAGTGAACTTGGGTCAATGAGGTGAGTGATGACATGATTTCCTTTGATTACAAGTGTCCAAAGCACGACTGAAGTGTTGGGCAAATTTTCTTAGTCATTGCCGAGGTGGCGTCCATGCACGGGCTTAGTCATCGCCCGTGCGTTCGTGGCGCGCCGTGTGTGCAAGCACATAGGTGATTCATCACCCCACTTGCACACCCAACATTTATCCTTGCATTTTTCCTCACGGTAATATTAAGATGGGAGTTTGGTTTGATCAAGTCACTAAGCATTGCCTAAGTGCGTGCTTAGCGGGGTAATGACGCGTGCGCTATGCGCTGCGCGCGACGATGCGCGCTGCGCGCGGCTACGCGTACGGCTGCGCACATTGTGCGTGTATGCATGCGTGCAAATTGTGCTTGAGCACGTTCATGATTTAGCCTTAGTTTTGATCATGAAATTAGTTCCGAACATATTTAACTGTCAATAATTGATCCCGATTAAAAATGTCCCTTTATAAAATAAGCGGTTCGGAAATTAATTATCCAATTTGACTCGCTTAATAATTAACCGGATAAACTTTTCGACTTAACGTCGAACTTATTTGCTGAAAATGAACGGAACTAATAAAACGTAATACATTATTTATATTAACAAGAAGTTGGGTTATTACAATCTACCCTCCTTAAAATATTTCCGTCCTCGGAAATATAAAACATACCATATATACATGAAAATGTACATATCAAAACTGAAAATCGGGAAAACGAGCGCGAATGTCAGCCTCCTGCTCCCAAGTGGCTCCGTGGCAATCCCACTGAATATGAACGAGGTGAACATTATGCTTCCGGAGTCGTCGAACTTGTCGGTCCAAGACAGCTATCGGTCGCTCCTCGTAAGATA